TAATATATTTATTTAAACAAACAATAATAAAACTGTGTATGTCATTTAATCCAGATTTAAAAGAGATTAAAAGCCAAAAAAGATGCAAAGATGGAACCTACAACTTATTGCCAGTTGTTCAAGGTTACATTTATCATTCTCAAATTGGAAAGAAGAATGAAAGTATTTATAAATGTCAAGATTGTGATGTAAAGATTAAAGTTGTTAAAAGTGATCCTGACGATTATGGTCAAATACATTTTGTTGATTATTCTTATGTAGATACAGAAAAAACAAAACATCCACATTATCCAAAAGACAAAGTAGATACCAACAAAACACTCCGCACCGTCTTTTCAAAAAATGCCAATTTATTACTTTCAGCTACCAAAATAATGGATCTTAATGAAGAGTTGTTTATAAATGACAAACAACGACAAACAACGATAAGACGTACGATCAACAGACTTAAAGCGGAATTAATAAAAGAAAAGTTTGATGAATTATTCGAAAGTGAAAATTTTTATGTTAAAGATGACGATGACTTTTTCATTTTAATAAATGCATTTAAGATTAAACAAATGAAATCCAAAACAGTATCTTATGTATTGATGGACGGGACATTTTGTTCGTGTCCATCCAATTATGAACAATTGTACACTATTCATTGTATATTATCAAATGGTCAATGTTTTATTTTGGTTCATTGTCTTATGTACAGAAGAAGAGAAAAAGATTATATTAATTTGTTTGAAATAATAAATACCTTTTTTCTTTCCGTTTGGGAAAAACCTTTATTTTCCAAAAATGTTAGTATTATGATCGACTTTGAGAATGCAGTAATTAACGCTTTAAATTATTTTGAATGTTTTGTACATGGGTGTTATTTCCATTTTTCGCAGTGTTTATGGAGATGTGTACAAAAAAGTGGATTGTCAAGTTATTATTTTCCAAATTCCTTAATTTGGACATTTGTCAACAAATTGAAAACGTTGGTTTTTTATAAACCAAGCGAAGTCAAGGAACGGTTCATTAAAATAAAACAAACAGCATTGGATATTGTAATAGAAGAAAAACTAACAAATGGAATTCGAGAAATTATTAATTATTTTGAAAAAAAATTGGATTGAAAAATATCCAATTTTACTGTGGAATCAATTCAATCAACAAATAAGAACCGACAACTTATCTGAAAGTTACCATTCGGCGTTAACAAAAAGGTTGTCAACAAAGAAGCCATCTTTATAGGCTCTCATATTGAATATCATGAATGTCGAAAAAAATGCAACTCAAAAAACTTCAACAAATGAGCAAGGGCCAAAACCATTACAGTAGAAGACCGACAAAATTGTTTTATTTGACTTTAAATTATTATAGTGGTAATGAAATGGAAAATGATTTCCAAAACAATTTGGTCGAAGTTGTAGAAGATTATCATTGGAACAAATTATATGAAATGAATGAAAGTAATGAAATAGAGACAGATTTAAATGTTACAAATTTACATCTTTGCAATGTGAATGAAAGTTTTGTTGGAGAAGTGACAGACAGTTTGAAAATTAAAACATTAAAAGATAAAGACGCAGAAAATAAAACGTGTCAAATACAACAAAAACAAGACAAAATTGCAGACAAAACAATTGCCACTCCAGTTGATACGCGGATTGATACACCCAAAGACAAAATAACAAAGAAAAAAGGAGGAATAAAAAAAGTGATTATGTTCCTCTCTCAAAAAGACGATTTGTTGGAGACGGTAAGAAAAAAAGAAAACAATCAATAACTGACTTATGATATTTTATATTATTTTATGCAATTTTTATAAAAATAGACAATTTAAAAATAAAAATTATGTTTTTATTTTTATTTTTAAATAACAAAAAAAGACTTGAAATAATGTTGAAATTTGTTGCATTTTTAATTGAAAATTATTAAAAGTAAAATTATAAAATGTCGGATTATTTTTTGCCAGATTATTTTGTCCGTTCACCCTTTCCCCCAAACACACTGTTGTTTTCCACTCAACTTCTTCAAACACTTCATGCTGTCGTTATGTACAAAGAATACTCCTGACATGTAGGTGGGAATGAGCGAAATTTATTTCAATCCGGTTTAATTCCCTTTTGGTTGTTTGCTCAATGTCAATGCAGCAAGTTTAGCAATTTCCTTGTTGATCTCCAAGAAGTAGTACTTTGATTCGTTGTAATTTAACCCGAGATTTGACGCTTCTCCACTTCTTGCATTATTCTGACTGCTGTGAGTCCATCAACCAGACATTGGGATATCTTGACAACCATTCAGACTCGGGACTGGAGGACTGGAGGATTCGGGGACACGGACGCAGGGGCCTTTTGCCGACTTGAATTTAAGCCGGCATCTGTTTGATTATACATTGTTAAATGGTATAATATTATATATCGTAAAATAAAGTAGAAAAAACAACCTTGATGTTATTGTGGTTGAATATTAAATTTGTGTTTAAATATTAAATTGTACGTTATTTTTTTAATTATTGTGTTTCTTTACAATAAAAAATACAATAAGTTATTAATACAACGTTGAAATATTAACACATTCGATTATTTATGCCTTTTTGGGTTTTTTATGGGGGGTTTGTTATGCATTGAATGCGCACAAATTGTCTGTATTCTCTATTCAAAAACTAACTCAAAACAACATATAATTATAATCATATTTTTATTTTTTTCAAATTTACAAACAATGTTATAATGTATAATTATTATAATTATTAATTTTTATTCAAACTGTAAAAATAACAGTCAATTTTTTTATAAGAATACTAATAAAATTGTTTATTTAAAATTAAACATGATGTTTTGTTATGATTAAATTAATTAAAGTATGTTTAACTATAATTAAAGTGTTTACTATTATATTTATCGATTTACAAAAGCCTTTTTATATTAACATTGAAATGACGTTTTGGTGTTATTTTATTTTTTTATAAAAATTTAACTGTTATTTAAAAAAACAAGAAATATTGAAATATTTTATAAAATCCTTATTAAAAATATCATTTATTCTTAACAAACAAAAAAAATCATTTGAATTAATTGTTTAAACTATTTTTCTATTTGTTTTAAAGAGTTTTTGTTGAATATAATAAACATTATGACAAATAATAACTTTTTTATTAATTAAAATTAATATTCATAAAAACAACAGGAACAACAAAACAAATGTCGGGATATCTCTATTTATAAATCCTACAATCCAAGCTATTTTTACATAAAATTTAAGTTGATTGGGTGTAAATTGACAAACATAAAACATATTTTGTTGTTAAAAATGAGTTAACATTTGAATATTAAAATTTTGGTTAAATAATCAATTGACATAATAAATTTATCACCACACTAACGTACGACAATTAATTAACAATTTGTATAAATTGAAAATCTTTTCCGTTATAAATCCAACGCCAAGTTCTGTCTTTCTGAATTAACACAATTAAGAGAGGTTATATAATAATCAGAAGATCCACTTGTGCAATCATTCTTTTTATATTCATTGTATTTAACATAATATTCTGGAAGATTGGCATCGTCAATTTCTTCTAAAAAAGCAGTTGTGTCATCTGTCCATGAAATATCATTACACGAAGAAGCGTATTGAAGAACATATTTAGTTTAGACTTGTTTTTTAACTACTTTTTGAGCAACTAAATCATTGTTTCTATAAAAGTGAAGTAATGTCCACACACTGAAGAGGCGAGTGCAACAATCGCCACAAACAAACCAAACATTGCACCCGTCCATTTTTTTGGTACTGCCACGACAACGACTTAGCGACTTGTTCGTTGGTTTATGATGATTCTGAAATGTCCATGTCGTTCCATTTTGTACCAAAGTTGATCATAACACTTTGTAAAAAAATGGGATTAACAAAGTGACATTATAAATAAGTTTTGGAATTATTGCAATTAACGTAAACTTTGCATTCAATCGGATCATCACTCGCAACTATTTGGGCTTTAATTATTACTTTGCGTTTTTCCAAGCAAATTCGAATTGTCTTGTCAAGTGTTTAGCTCTTTTTTCATGTTTAGTTCTTGTATATCGGACTCATTGAGTGATGTTTGATGTTAATTAATTTAATTACCTTTCATTTTTTTGAAAAGTGATTCCTTTCTTTTGTGTTTGTCATATATTTCTCTTTCTTTTATAACTATTTTGGTTTGTTCTTTCTCATTCCAATAACAACAAGAATGATTTGGTGACTTTTATTATATGTTGATAAATAATATTTTAATTATTATAAACAATAATATCTTGTTATTTATAGTGACATTTGTGGTCTAAGGGCAGAATTCCACCCTTCCAAGGTGGAGATCCGGGTTCGAGTTTTGGCAAATGCATTTTTTGTTTTTTTATTATTGTTTTATATAGATCAAATAAACAAAAAACAGGGTTGGCCAAGATCCAGTTTTTAAACAACTTCGTGGCAATCTCTAATACGTGTCAGTTCATTTTAAGTTTTAGCATATTGTCAACAAAAAATTCAAGACGTTTTTTTGTGTAAAAATGTTTTTAAAAAAATGTAAAACTATAGTTAACGATTTAAACAAATTTTTAATGTGATTAAATTAGACCAATGACGTTTCAGAAATGGACTCGACTCTTAATTATAGAATCATTTTCTTTTTGTCCACTACTTTTTGAATAATAAAGCCACATCATCACAATAACAATTCTTTAATTGAAAAAATCTGGAAATGCTTTCTCTTCCGATCATTTCCCGAAGAAACGTATCATCTTGCTTTGAAGTTTTCTTTAAGTTTCTTGTAGCAATCTTTTTGGGTGAATATATGACTTATCTCAAAATACAAGACTTGAGAAAGAAATTGAGGAAAAAGGGTAATAAAAGATTCTTATGAGTTGGGAAATTATCACAAAGATTGCTCTTTGTTTAAATGAGAATGCTCCCCTATCCCTCCACAATTCCCGTTTAATTTAAAGAAAAAATACCAAATAAAAAAATCTTTTTGGATTGAGTTAATTTTAATCATCACGAAAGTCTGCTTCAATTTCAGTCTCATCTTCTCCACTTTGATCTTCTCGGGCATTTCTGTGTTGCTCATTGATAAGAGCATTCATTTGAATTTGTTGTCTTCTTCGATAAATTCTGTTACTCTCTCGATGCAGCTTTCTTCTTTCTTCTATGCTGTTCATGAAATTGTCAACAATGTTTTGGTAATTAGCTGCATCTTCCACAATAAGTGGGTTAATTTGGATATCAACATTGCAAAAACAACAGCAGAAAACAAACATGGCATCAAAATTTTCAAACTCTTTCACAAACTTTGTTCTTGCAAAAGCAAAGACGGTTTTAAGCCTTCCGAAGTATCTTTTAATAAGACAACATTTTTCACGGAGAGGACTTGTTGTTGGGATAAACGAATTGGGAACATAAGCATCAATTCCCTTGTACCCTTTGTCACCTATCATCTTCTTTCCTCCCAGCATATGACTGATTTCCTGAGCCGTTTCTTTCAGAAGTTTCATATCGTGCTGTGCTCTTGGTTTTCCTTGAGAAACAAAAGCTGCTGTTCCGCTTTCTGCATTCACGATTACTTCCTCCTTAATGCAATATGCTTTGTACTTTCCACTGTAAAATATCATCGAAGAAGCGAAATCAGTGCTTTGTCGATTACAAGGAACCATCGTGCAATCGATAATAGCACTTACATTAGTGTTAAGGAGATTCTCGCCCTTAAATGTAATGAAAGAGTCTCTCATAATCTGAAGGAACAGTTTTGAACTTATTATGATCTCTCTTTCTATTTGTTCATTGGTTTTAACAAAAGGAAGACACAGATCACGAATTATTCTTAATTTATCATACTTAAAGAACAAATAAAGAAGGAGGATGCGGTCGTCGGGATTGTAGAAGAATGACTTTTTCCTCTTTTGTCCACATACAAATCACTAACCACCGGTCTGATCATCAAGAATACCAACGGGTTTAGTCCAAGGAATGTAAAGAGTGATTCAAGCCCGCCATATCTTTCGATTAGAACATTAAAGAAAAAGTGTGAAGTGGGAGATTGTGTCGTGTGTGTTGGTGGTTGAGTTGATTGTCTGGCGTTTTCAACCTCTTGGTCAATTTCCGTTCTTATGATCCCATTTGTTGGGACTCTTCGTGTGGTGTGTGTATTGGTACTAGACATAGGTTTTTATTAACAGTTACCCATTGATCCTTAAATTGTTATTTACATCATAAATCAATGATGTAATTGTTATGTGTTGTCCAGTAAGCAATAATTAAAACCAAATAAATTATACAAAATCCAGTTTTGAAAGAGCGAATCATTGCGTTTTTATGTGTTCATATTCGCTTAGTCGCCATCTTTTTGTACAAATAATAAATTATCACATGATACTTTTTCTTAGTTACTACTTTAGTTTATTAAGGCAAATATGACTTTGCTCAAATTCGTTGTTTTTTAAATAGTTTTGACTAATACCTCAAAATCATTGGTCTATTATCATTATATTGTGTGAAAATTTAGTTTTTAAGAACAATGTTTAAAAAGTTAAAAAGACGTGAAATATTCCGTTACAAAGTTATTTAAATCAAATAACAATATTCACAACGTATAATACTTATAAAGACAGAATATACTCCCAAATAACAAAAATTATTATAGATAACTTGATTGATTTCAACATAAAATAAATTTTTTTTACAATAAATATATTTTTTCAAAACATATGTGAATATAAATTATTCATATAAGTTTTGATATGTTTATTTACGTCTCTTTTAAAATAAAGTGTTAATGAATCAAATTGTAGTATTTTGTATTTTTATTATTATTTACAATAATACAAAACTAACAATGTATTTTTTTGGATTGAATAAACCATATAACTTTCAAAACAGTAAAACTTATCTTTAAATTATCTTAATGATAACAACGATTATCCAAAATACAATAATAATCAGTCAAAATAATGATTACTCGTTGAATTGAAAAAAACACAAATATCAGAGTAGCTGCTTTGAATTTGTTTTATTTACACATGAATTATATAATTGGATGGTTTTTATTTACAATCAAATCAACACAAAGAAAAATTATATTATTGTATTTTAATGTTATTTAAAAACAACATTTTGTTTGATATAAATTATCGTTTTATATTTTTTTATTTTATCATATGGTATAAATAATTGTGTTTTGTCATTTATTTTTTTAAAAAATGATAATGTTATTTACCATTTTAATGTTTTTTAAGTTTTTTTTCAATAACATGATCGTTTGGCCGACCCTGAATAAACTCGAGATTTCCCGATCTTTAGATTACTTGAATTTTGTTCAATATTATTCAATTTTCAAAAAACCCAATATTTGATTATAAATAAAAAATTTAACAACTATTAAAAACATGAATTTTTAATTAACCTTAGGAGTATGAAACCGATTTAATTAAATCGTTATTTTTTAATAAAAAAACAAAAAATAATTAAAAATTTTGTTATTCCTTTAAAATAAAAACAAAGTAATTGTAACACTTTAAGCAAAGAGTAACACGGTGAAGACTACAAGTTGGGTCTTTGCAAAAATAACAACCAATTGAACTTCTCGCGATAGAGCCTCTAGACCCATCAACGGAACCACAACAACAACAACAACAATTCTTTTGAGTAGCAAATTTGACTTCTAATGGATCGTGTTTGGTTGATCCAACTCTTCTACCTCGTTGTTTATAAACAACATCTCCATCTTCAGTTGCCGTTTGATTCGCGGTTCTCTTTTTGTATTTTTCCATTTTCACGTAAGGTGTTTCAGAAACAAGCACTTTACGAGGAACAAAACAACAAATTGGTATTTGAAATGTTTCTGTTGCACCAGTTTGAGTAAACAGTGCAGGAAAGTCACTTCTGGTAATAACTTCGAGCTCAAGAAGATTACCCAAATTTTTTCTTTTTGATTTATTTACTCTATCCAATGCATGAGGTTTACACATTTGTTTGGCCAAACGCAACAAAAAGGATTCTCTTGTCGAATTTCCCGATATTTTGAAAGCGTTATATGCACAAATATCTAAACAATTGAAAAATAAAGCCAATGGCCATCTTCTTGTACCTCTTTTGCAACTGAAGTGTCTCACCATTTTATCGACCATATCAACACCCCCCATTCCCTTGTTGTATGCATTTTGAATCCCAAAAATACTTTTTATTTTATCAAAAAACATCAATTCTTTTTTTGAAGTCAACATTGTAACTGCCTTTTTCTTTTTGTCAAAATAGTTCAAAATAAAAAGGGGGTGTGTTGGTGGTTCGTCTGTTGCTGCTTGTTTTACCAATACTAAACAAATAAAACTTTTGTAAGGTTTGGTTTCTCGACAAATTGATGGCACAAAAGTCCTGTTTTTACGGCAAGTTCCAACCGCGTCAATATTTCTTTGTTTTAATCTGACAGCAAGATTCACTGTTGTAAATAAATTATCAATATACAACGTTGTTTGGTTACCTACCAAAAAATCTGGTAATATCAAAGTATCAATCATTTTTATCACCAAATTTTCAATGTAATTTTCTTCATTACCAGCAACACTTCCTAAATATAGCTCCGAATTACACACCAAACCAGAAATGTTGTCAACCATTGTCCATACTTCATTCCGTATTTTCCCGGTTTTGTTGGTATAAATTGGGTAAATTTACAATGACCAAAATATTTTACCAGTTGTTCATCTATGCAAAATGAACTTTGTAATGAGTTATTTTTGGTATAAGATCTCATATTTGAAATATAAATCTCAAAGAATGTACTCACCAAAAAATAGTGCTTGTTATCAAATACACAAGACTCTTCATCTAAAAGACCACTTTCCTCGTTGACATTTTCATCTTCGTCCTCCAAAACCAAATTTTCGTCTTCTTTTTCAATTTCTTCACTTGAAGAGTCACTTTCTGAGTTTTGTGTTGCTCCTACAATATCAACCCATTGTTGAGTGTTTGTTATCAACTCTTTATTCAATACTTCATCTTGCAGATCTGATATATGAGTGTAATCTCCATAACTTTTCTTCTCATTCTTCTTTTCCACTTTCTTTGTATACACTTTATCAACTTCCATTGCTTTTTTCTTTTTTTCTTTTTTTATTCTTTCCCCTGCAAATTTATCAAACCTCAAAGAATTCATGATCTGCAAGAATCTTGTTTTTGACATTATCGCTCTGTAAAATTTGTTTCCATCAATTCGGTTGTAAAGAAAATTGAGACTCTTTTTTGAATCGTGGACAACCCCCCATATATAACAAAAACCCAATGAATGCATTTAATTCGATTGCATTTAGGTCTTTCCATCTCTCTTCATATAAAACATTCCCAGCCAAATTAGTTGATTCAATAATAATATCTTTCATTTCGTCACTAAAAAACACTTTAAAGTAATCAGTAAAGTCTCGATCTTGCTGAATGGTCTGGAATTGTACTGGGTCAACTTCTGGTACATTATCAATTCTCACATTCATTTTTTCCCAAAAATACAAGGGTTCTTGTTTCCCTTTCACAGTTTTTGTAGACAAAAACATTTTAATTTTCGAGTTTTGTAATAACAATTTTTTTATTTATCAATTTACAAAAATAAAGTTGTAAATTGATAAATTTATTTTTTTATATTCTAAAAAACTAAAAAATAAAACAATCCACTGACCAAACGAAGATGTTTTATATGGTGTTGCTGAATAAGTTGCTCTTTTGACAATAACCAGTGGAAGGCAAAAGACAACGTGTTGTTGTTTTATGATACTACCACTGACATTTGAGATAAACACAGCTGGCAGTGTGATAACCACAAAGTCGAAAAACTCAAAAAAAGTCACAGATGATTTCAATAAATGCGGAAAACAGCCTGGTGTCTTGATTCAAGTGATTGAATGAGATGTGTTATGACTGCAACTCGCCAGGGAAGTTTGAGTTAAGTTGGATACATATTTTAAAAAGGTAATTAGCAATTGATGTTTTCCTCTTTTTCTTTGAATTTGGGCAATGATTTAATTAAATCGGTTTCATACTCCACAGGTGGAAAATAACTTTCACAAAAAAAAACAAAAAACAAAAAAATAAAAAAAATAAACATCCTAAGGTTAATTAAATTTTATTATATATAATTATGAATAAAGTCAGTCTGGAAACCTTATTTATTCCAAAAACCTTATTTATTTTTTTCCCTTTGGAAAAAATGCAAATTTGGGATGTTTAATAAATATTACTATTATTTAAACTATTTTCCAATAACACAACCAAAAACATAAATGGGGTTAAAGTCATTTAGCCAATCATTTCATTTTTTCTGTTTGTCAATAAATGGTGATATTAATGTTGTTATTTACCTAAAAGAACAGGAAAATACACAAAACAAACTAAGTTTTTTGGATCATTTTTGAAGAATTTTGCTATAAGGCGTGAGTCGACTTATTAAATGTACAGTCTGTCTCAAACGATATCTGGTGCCTTTTGGACCATAAAAAATGGAATAATTCGGGGAGCAGTCCCAAAAATCCATCCCAATTGTTTCGGGTTTTTTCACGCTTTACCTAATGCCCGATGTTTAGACAAAAATGAAGGTATTTTTTGTCCACCAGATAACGTTTGAGACTGACTCTACTCTTACAAAGAGCGAAATGACGTCCACACAGCCAAGACAATTTATTATAAACAACTTTTACCCGACTGCAGTACAACCATTCAATGTTCGAGTCTGCCAAGCGTGGTGTTCTTTTGATTATGATTGTCTCGTTGTTTTTTATTAATTATTTAATTAAATTCAAGTTGTTTGTTGTCGAATTCTCGTGTTGTATTTGTCATCTCATACAAAAAATCCGCCCAACCGCTGCTTACAACAACGGCACCACTCTCTGGTGTTATACGCGATGTTTGAGCGTAAAAAATCAAATTTGTCAATTTGTCTAAGTTCGTTTGAATTGAAAAAACAAAGATTTCAAGTGAAAAAAAAATAATTTTGAAAAACAAAACCAAATAACAAAAAAATAACCTATTTTTGTCGATAAATAAGGTTTTTGGAATAAATAAGGTTTCCAGACTGACTTTATTTTATTTAAAAACAACAAAAAATAATTAATTTTAATGTTTATTTTTATTTTTATATTATCTAATATATAAACTATAAAAAAACATGTTTGATTTTCATGTTATGTTGACGATAGTTATCTTTTTATTTGTTGTTACTTGTTCGTCTACATATTGTATGGCTGGGTATTACCTATCTGTTACCGGTTCTAGTTGTCTAGTTTGTCGCTCAGGATTTTTCTGTCCAGATGGATTAGACGAATATCCTTGCCCAAAAGGTTATTATTCAAAACTCAAAGCCGTTGAATGTACCCTTTGTCCCGACGGGCAAAATGCACCAAACATTATGTCAACTGTTTGTGTTTTATGTGCTCCAGGGACTTATTCGTATGGAAACAACAAAGAAGTTTGTACCGAGTGTTCTGCTGGGACTTATTCTGTTTTAGGTTCATCAAAATGCAGCAATTGCTCTTCTGGGACTTATTCATTTTCTGGATCTTCAAGTTGCACGCCGTGTTCAGATGGTTATTATTCATTAGGAGGGGCTTCGGTGTGTAGACTATGTCTAAGTTTATCATGTGTTTCTTGTGGTTCAACAACTGGGAAGTGCACTTCATGTTCATTGGGAAGCGGCTTTGTGTCAGATGGAGTTTGCAAGGCTTGTGAAGCAGGTTATTACTCACCAGGTGGTACTATTTCGTGTTCAAAATGTCCTATAAATACTTATGCCAAAACTAGTAGCGGTAGTTGTTCAAGTTGCAAAACAACATGTAAAACATGTGATTCAACAAATGGGGATTGTTTGACTTGTTACAACAATTCGTTTGTTTTAAATGGTCTTTGTGTGAGTTGTCCAGCTGGTCAATATTTCAATTCAAAAAGTTGCTCTAGTTGCCCAGAAAACACTTATTCCTTGCAAAACAGTTCGACCTGTACAAACTGTTCTTCGTGTGTAACATGTGACCAAACAAATGGACATTGTACTTCTTGTAAGAATGGGTAGTTTGTAGACAACAAATACAGATGTGATGATTGTGTTGCTGGGACGTATGGTGATGGCATTAAATGCACTCCCTGCCAAACAGGTACATTTTCAAGTGTATCAGGAAGTGCCAGTTGCATGTCATGTCTTTATAAATCTTATTCAAATACAACTTCTTCAATTTCATGTACAGAATGCAACTATTATTGCACTTCGTGTAATGGGGAAAATGGATTCTGCTCTACTTGTATGGATGGTTGTGTTTTATCAGGAAATTACTGCATTCCGTGTCAAGCCGGAACAGCAACAAACAAAGATACAAACACATGCGATGTCTGTCCAGCAGGAACGTATTCACACAATCAATCAACAACTTGTTTACTTTGTCGGGATGGGTTTTATTCAACAGAAAAATCATCAATTTGTTTGCAATGCAATGTTAATTGTCTCTCTTGCAACAACACAAATGGGAATTGCACGACTTGCATTTCTGGGTATGGTTTAGATGAGTTGTTCAATTGCCACATTTGTCCAGTTGGTACTTATGCAAATTCAGCAAACAACAAATGCCAACAATGTGGAGACAAAACATATTAACCAAATGAAGGACAAACATTTTGCAATTCATGTGATATCAACTGTGAAACGTGTGGTAGTGTCAGTGGCAAGTGTTTGACGTGTTATGCTGGATATGGACTTGACAATAATGGGAAATGTGAACAATGTGGTGATGGGTATTATTCACCTGGTGGGACATCATCGTGTTCATCGTGTCCAATTGAGTGTGTAAACTGTTACAGAGAGAGTGGCGAGTGCACAACATGTCAGTCTGGCTTCAAACAAGTTACAAATCAAAATACGGGAAATGAAGAGTGTGTGTCGTGTTCGTTGAATGAGAATTGTGTTTCATGTGATTTGAATGCAAACGAATTCGATAGAACGTGTGTTGAGTGTGTGAGTGGGTATTACCTGAAAGAGAACAGATGTTACAAGTGTTCACAAATAACAAATTGTGTGCAGTGCTCACAAAAGAGCAGTGAGTGTCTGTCGTGTTCGAGTGATTTTGTATCAAATGGTGGTGGGTGCGTATCATGTAAATATGGCGAAGTGAAAGTCACTTCAAATAGGTGTATGAGTTGTTTTGATTTAATTCCAAATTGTTAACTGTGTGAATACAACAACAGGAATAAATTATGTACAAAATGTTATGTATCGTATGTTATTAATGATGACAAATCAGAATGTTTATTGGCGTATTCAAACACAACACATTTAAACTCGGAAACATCAAAAAGTGATGTTAATGATGTTGGCTGTTTGCATCAAGTGAATTCTATTTGTTTTATGTGTGATGAAACCCACATTTTAGTCGATGGAAAATGCATTGAAAAAACAGAAGACAATTGCTTTGATTATTCAATGAAAACATGCAACAACTGTTTTGAAAACGTCATCACAACAAACGGCAATTGTTTAATTGAAAGCACTTGCAAATACCAACTCACTCATAACGACCAGACTGTCTGTCTGATCCACAACAATAACACACAAGAAGGCATCAAAGCCAACAACTGCAAATACACACAAAACGAGTTTTGTTATTTGGCAAATGAAGGATATCACACAACATTTAACACAGATGGTAATACTGCAAATTGTGAGGATGCAGAGATCTGTCAAATTGTAAATGGATATATAATCAATATATCATGTAAAAGTGAATTTGTGATGACAACGAACGGTTTGTGTTCACAAGACTTTAACTGCGCAAATTACAGTGGAAGTGTGTGCACAACATGTCAACAAAATTATCACACTGCAAGTGGTGATGTGTTTCCAATGACAACGAGTGTGTTATTCAAAACAAAAAGATTTGCATTTTGTGTAGCAACAACAAAATCACAAATGATGGGAAATGCGTTTTAACAGATTCAATCAAATGTAAAGAGTTTGTTGGAAATGTTTGTACTCAATGCGACGACGATCATTACAAAGACGGGACTGGGTGTTTTCCAAAACAAGACAAATACAAAGACTGTGAGCACTTGAGTGTTGTGTCATCGTCTTGTCTGGAGTGCAACAAATCTCATCTTCTTGTTGACAACATGTGCGTTGAAAATGATACCAACACATCAAAAGCAAACAATTTACAAGTAACAAGTGAAACAACAACAGACAACTGCATACTGAGAAGTCCAAAAGGGTGTTTGCGATGTAGTGATGGGTATTACATATTTAACTCACTTTGTGTGAGATGTGAGTACCCCTGCACACACTGCTCCAATTTGACGTATTGCACAAAATGTGATGCGTACTCGTACACCAAGAATGGCAAGTGTTTTGAAATCAATGAAATACTGAGTGTGTGATGTGATGATGTCGACATATGAGGGGTGTGTTGTGTGCAAAGACGGGTACATGCGATCAAGTGATGGCAAGCAGTGCGTTAGATGTGACACGTCGTGTAAAACATGTTCCAATGATGGTGATTGTGTTGTTTGCAGTGATGGATATTACAGAACACCAAACAACAACACTAAGCTGTGCAACCCACAAAAAGAATTGAACAACTGTTTGAACAAGACGACGACTGGGTGCATATTGTGTGAAGGTGGTTTTGCACTAAATAACAATTTGTGTTACAAATGTGGTGAAAATTGCACAACTTGTGATGCCACTTTTGAGTGTTTAAAATGTGGTGATAACAACATTCTAAAAGACAGAGTGTGTGTTCACTTCTCACAAATACCAAATTGCATCTCATTAGAGAACTCCTTGTGTTGGGAGTGTGCAGATGGCTACAAGTTGAGTGACGACAAAATTGAGTGTTTTGCAAACACGAATTATGGTGTGGTTGTTGGTCTTCCAGTAGTGTGTGTTGCTGTGTTGGTTGTTATAATAATCACAATTGTAACAATTGTTTTTCTGTTTGTGCTGAGAAAGAAAGACAACAAACACACTAAAAATGTGTGTGTCTTCAAGATGAGTCGCTCCAATATTATGATGACGAAACTTGATGGCGACATTCTATCAAACAAAAATGAGATTTCATTTGGTGATGAAGACGACAAGATCTGCATTGAGACTGAAAGTCGCGAATTGTTGTGTGTTGGCAACTCGTCTAAAAGTAACATGAAAATTCAAATCACAACAAAAGACAAATGCAACAAATACAAAATTCGCACAGAACCACAAATAGTGACTTTAAAAAGCGGATTTGCATGTGAATTTGAAGTATTTATAACGCCATATTGCACAATGGATTTGAGTGATGAAGTCATGATTGTTTCACTTGATTTAAAAGGTGGTAAACAAAACACGACTTTGGTGAACATCAAAGCACTGGTGGAACAATCAACACGTCTTGATTACGACGAAATCAAAACAGAGAAGAAACTTGGCGAAGGGTCTTTTGGAATTGTCTACAAAGGAACTTACAGAGGAAATGTTGTTGCAGTCAAAAAGATGAAACACGTTGACAACTCAAATGATGAAATTGGAATGATTGAATTTACAAAAGAAGTTGAGATGTTGGACAAATTTCGGAGTGAGTATATCGTCCACTTCTATGGCGCCGTGTTTATACAAAACAAAGTTTGCATGGTCACCGAGTTTGCACAATATGGATCTTTACAAGACTTGATAAAACACAAAACGAATGATGAAGTTGACATGAAAATGCGAGTTAAAATGATGAGAGATGCATCAAAAGGGATTTTGTATTTACATGAGAATGGGATATTACACAGAGACATCAAGCCAGACAATATTCTTGTGTTTTCATTTGATTTGAATGATAAAGTTAATGCTAAATTGACTGACTTTGGAAGTGCAAGAAATGTGAATTTGTTGATGACTAACATGACATTCACTAAAGGTATTGGAACGCCAGTTTACATGGCGCCTGAGGTGTTGAAAAAAGAAAAGTACACAAAAAGCGCAGATATATTTTCGTTTGGTGTCACTATGTATGAAGTGTTTGGGTGGACTAATGTTTATCCACTTGACGCATTTAAGTTTCCATGGAAAATAGCAGAATTTGTGATGTCTGGAAAACGACTTGAAAGAAAAGAAAATATACAAGAGAAGTTGTATGAAAATATACAGATGTGTTGGGCTCAAGAAAAAGCAAACAGAGCATCTATTGATAACATAATAAATGAACTCGCTTTGTAATTCGTTGTTTGTTATTTATTCAAATGAAAATATATCATATATTTGAACTTTATTTCAGTGATAATGAAAATAACAGTAATACAAATATTAATACAAAGGTTTAACATGAAGACTTGGTCTATTATGTTTAAAACTATAAATAGTTTAGTAATAAACATAATGAAATTAAAAACCAGGATTTGGTGATAAAAAACCAAACACAACTTATTGAATTTGTCTTGTAATAAAAATTATATCTTTATGTGAAAATAGTTACTTCTATATTTGATTTTAAATTTTTAAAAATGATTGTATTATATTGCTTAACACACTTTTTTGTTCAAATTTGAACACCACATAATGGTCATTACTTATAATAACAAAACTATAAATGAAATATTATTTCACACACAAATTAAATGTTTGTTTGTGTTTAAACACATATTACAAATAAATGATGGAAATCAAGTAAATATACAATAAAAACCAAATATGACATAACGATTCATTCGAAAATGTATGTTTAATGATGATACCGTATAGATTTTATATTTTTAAATTTACAAATATGTATAATATTGTAAAAAGCACATACATTAATGATTTAATTATTATCCTATAATAATAAAAAAGTATATAATAAAAATTATTATATTACAGATAAAAAGTCGGTGACAAAGTATAAATAACCCATTATTCTAATAGTGTTTTTTGTTCAATAATTTCTATTCTCTATTAATCCCTATTTTTTAAAATTTTTAATCACTAAAAAAGGGTAAAAATAAAGTCGGTGGAACAACACTCATTTGCAATTTTTTTGTTGTTTTCCAAAGAAATGAAAGGAAAAAGACTATAAATTGTAAAAAATAAAAAGTGCAATATTGTATTTAAGCTGTTCTAAAAAAGGTGATCTTAATAAATAAAAACTTTGATTATGAAAAAAATGATCACTTTTGAAACCACAAACCCTCATTTACAAAACTCACTTGAAATAACCAAAGACAACAAATACTCAATTTAGACTTTACCAATTACTACCATCTTTTCATATAGCTTCCAAACAGTTTATTTTAAAAAAAACGGATGGAGCAACAGTCTCACGAGTTCTTAAAAAAAAGGTTTGTTCTTCACATGATCTTACTTTTATTTAAAGAATGGGTTCATTTGAACCTTCGTTGGATTAATTAAAAACAGTGGATTTTGCCATTTTTTGATAACAAATCTTTGTTTTCTTTGTCATTTGCTTTGGGTTGAGGTATGTGATGTGAAAGTTATTAACGTCGTTGTCGATGGTTGTAAGTTTAATCACTGTTGCTTGGTTGTAGATTACTGTTGTCTGTAGAAAGTCCGAAATTACTTGACAAGTCGAAAAGCAGCTTATATATTAATGAAAATGTGGTAAGCGCTTTTAACATAACAAACCATACCTTCACTTTGAAATGATGCACCCATGCTTTCATACATTGCCAATTGATTAATTTTTTACACTTTTAATAATGTGTGTTATTTCCTTTATAATTAACTAATCCTTTTATCATTTTTTGCTTTTATTAAAGCCATATTTTTTAGGAATTGTTCCAGATAGTGATAAAAACAATGTTAGTGAGCTTCAAAAGCATTACAATATGAACATCATTTTAGGTGAGAAAATTGACATGGAGTGTTAAGTCAATTTAAGTATTATTAAAAATATTGATCTTATTTTTTGTTATATTAAACATTATTTCTTGTAATCGACTTTATACTTGTCACCTATATTTCCTTAATCTGTATAGTTATGATATTTTGTTTAAAAAGGTTAAACTTTTGGGCACAAAACTTGACCACACAATAGCACTATTAAACAAACAAAAAAAGATGAAGTAAAGGTTTTATTATAATGATTGTAACATGTACTATATTTCCCGATATTTGAGAATAATTATAACTCAAGCACTTTTTAAACGATATTAACAAAAAACTGCAATATAATCATAAAAAAATATATATAACATTAAAATATTTTACATAAATACGGTTTAATCACAATAACATAACTCTAATTTAATTGTCCATAACAACTTCTTTACTAATTGTTATTGACAATAACAATAAATTTTTATGACTAATTGACATCATTAAAATAATTTTCTCAAATAAAGTAATGTTGATCAAATCACCGAAATAACATTCTGATGTTGAATAGAAAGATTTTTTTATTAATATGTTTGGTTTTTTATTTATTTGTAAATGATACAATTATCAGTTTTAATTAATCAAATAAAAATACAACAATAATATTTAATCAATAAATAATATTGATACTGTATTATAATCATGATGTATTTGTAACATTTTAACACTTTTAAATGATTTACAAACAAATGTTGATGTTATTACTCTACCAACATTTTAAAGTTAAAAACAAAAACAAAATTTGGTAATGAATAATTTGAAAACTGTATTTTTTGCTATAGGCCATTTGAGTGTCGATGAATTAATTTGAACACAATTATGAAGTTTTATTTTAAACGTTTTTTTTATTCAAAAATAAGTTGTTTTTAATATCAAACTGACATTAAATCAATTAGTAAATTGTATGCACCCAGTTGTATTCGATTTAAAATGAGTATTTGTGTAGTCAGCCATACAAAGCCAGCAAAATTGATGTCCACAACTTAATGTCAGTATTTATGATATTGTATCAAAAGTTAACATTTCAGTGTTTTAAACAGTACAAACAAACCTACAAGTCATATGGTTACATCCTCCATTTTTACGAATTGGGTTTTTGCACTTTGGGCATATTTTTGTGTTTTGTTTAATCCATTCCGTTGTTTTTCTCATGTTCTCATTATCATCATCGACTTGTTTTTTCCACTCCTCGCATGTTTTTCCGGGGTGACAAACACACAAACATTTTTTACAGAACTCGTGTTTACAGTGTGGGCATTGCGCATTCACAGTGCTATTTAATGATAACAATGAGTTGTGACATTTGGGACACAAAATTGTCTGTTCTTCAAACATCTTTTTATTTAGTCTTTCAGTGTATTCGTTTATTAACTGTTTGTCATCAACTAAATCATATAAATTGATATCTGATAATTCAATAACTTGTGAACAACCATGCTGTGGGCAATGAACTTTTTGCCATGTATTATTCATTTGCTCTTTAATCGAATCACAAATACACGACTTGCAAAATCTATGACCACATTTATTAACATAAGTATCACTGTATGGTTTATCTTCATAACATATTTCACAACTAAATAATAAGACATTTTGAGAATTTTGTTTTTCTCTGTAATTTTTCACACATTCTTCTAAAATGAAGAGCTTCTTATTATAAGGTT